TTGTTTACGGCTCTATCTAGGGTTTAGGGGTTATTGTTATCCAATCCTTAAGGGTAGCCGAGTCACCATACCAGCAGCAGTAGCAAGAGCAGCAGCAGCAGCAACTGCTGCTGCTGCTGCTGCTGCTGCATGATTATTGTATTTGCTTGCTTACGGGTGTATTGTTTTATACCTTTGTTCTTTCCTTCCTTTCTCTCCTTTTTATTTCTTCCTTTCTCTGTATATCCCTCTCCTGCTATTCCTCCCTTGCTGCATTAGCTGCTGCTGCTGCTGCTGCTGCTGGTGTGTGTGCAGCTGCCTATACACTCGAAGATGGCTCGTGAGATAAGAGACATTCGTGAATTTTTGCAGACAGCAAGACGTAAGGATGCAAGAAAAGTAATAATATTAAAGAAAGTAAGAAGAGGAGGTAATCCTTATGGTGCAGCAGGAGGTGCAGCAGGAGGTGCAGCAGCAGCAGCAGCAGCACAAATTATTACTAAATTCAAGATAAGATGCGCTAAACAATTATATACTCTTGTTGTTACTGACAAACAAAAAGCACAAAAAATAGAAAGTTCTCTTCCTCCATCTGTTAAGCAGCAAGTTATTCCTGCTAAGAAATAAACCAGCAGCAGCAGCAGCAGCAGCAGCAGCAGCAACAGCAGCAACAGCAGCAGGAGGTCGTGATGGTCGTTATGATGGTTGTTGGGTTCTTGGACGGTCCATAGATCTGCTGCTGCGCATGCAGCAGCAGCAGCAGCAGCCCATTGATAGGCAGTAGCACTGCAGCAGCAACTGTAACTGTTGCAGCAACAGCAACAGCAGCAGCAGCAATACATGTTGCTGCTGCTACTGTAGCAGCCTGCTGCAGCAGCTGCTGCTGCTGCAGCTGCTGCTGCTGCTGCAGCAGGAGGACTTTTAGTTGTATAACTGAGTGTCTTTGCTTCTGTCTTTCTTTCCTCGTCTCTTACGTCTATAGCAGCAGCTGCTGCTGCTGTCTAGCAGCAGCAGCAGCAGCAGCAGCAATAGTAGCAGCAGGCGGTGACTTAGCTGAATAGCCAATAGATTGCTGCTGCTGCAGCAAACTAGCAGCAGCAATAGCAGCACGACAGCAGCAGCAGCTGCTGCTGCTGCTGCATGCAAGTATAGTATAATAGCACTAGATAAGGAATTAAAAAGAACTAGTTTAGATACATACTGCAGCAGCAGCAGCAGCAGCAGCAGCTCCGCTGCAACTATTGCTGCTGCTGCTGTTGCTGCGATTGCTGCTGCAACAGCAGCAGCAGATGTTTAGGGGTTAGTTTGTCTTGCTCGTCTGTTACCTTTTTTGCGTGTCTTTGCTGCTCCTTGCTGTTGTTGCTGCTGCAGTTGCTGCTGCTGCTGCTGCAGCAGGTGCAGCAGCAAGTGTCTCCTTTGTTGTGCTGCATGTAAGGAAGGGAAGCAGCAAATAGATAAATCATTAAAGGCAGCAGCATAAATAAAAAAGGAGACACTTAGCTGCTGCTCGCATGCAAAAGGCAGCAACTCTAGCAGCAGCAAAGCCCCACGAGCAACACGAACAAACGTACAACCTTCCTTACATACAGACACAGCAGCAGCAGCAGCAGGAGCTGCTGCTGCTGCTGTTGCTGTTGCTGCTGTTGACATTACTAGAGCTCCCTCTCCTAATGAGTTTGCTGCTGCTGCTGCTGCAGGAGCAGCAGCTTCTGCTGCTGCTGCTGCAGTTTCTGCTGCTGCTCCTGTTGCAGCTTCTGTTGCTGCTGCTTCTGCTGCTGTAGCTGCAGCAGCAGCAGCAGCACTTGCTGCAGGTATTGTTATTGTATTATATATAATACCCTTTTCTTCTTCTTTTTCTTTTTTTTCTTCTTTTTCTTCCTTTTCTTCTTCTTTTCCTTCCTTTTCTTCTTCTTTTCCTTCCTTTTCTTTTCCTTTTTCTTTCCCTTTTTCTTCTTTTCCTTCCTTTTTTTTTATTTCTTTTTTTTTTTCTTTTTTTTTTTCTTCTTTTTCTTCCTTAATAAGAGAAAAAGCCCCAAAAAGATGTCTGCGCATGCAATAGTCATCTAATCTATTACCAAATAAAATACAACCATCATTAGTACCCTTTTCTTGGGGGCCCCCCTCTACCTTAGGGGGGCCCCCAAGGCATAATAAGGGGGGCCCCTCTATATTAGGGGGACCCTCAGAGGATAAGGGGGGCCCCTCTACCTCGGGGGGCCCCTGGGAGGGTTGGGGGGCCCCCAAGGAGCTTGGGGTGCCCTCAGAGAGGTCCCCGGATTCGGCACAAGTAGGGCTGCTGCTGTTGCTGTTGTTGCTGCTGCTGCTGCAGCTGCTGCTGCTGCTGTTGCTGTTGCTGTTGCTGTTGCTGGATGTTTGCTGCTGCTGGTAATAAGGAGAGCAGCAGCAGCAGCAAAAGGGTTGTAAAGAAAATTCATAAGAAAGAATTTCTCCATAGAGATCTGCATCACAATGAGGGGCAAAATATATAATTATTTTTCTCCTTTTGCTGCTGCTGCTGCTGCTGCTGCTGCATGCAGCAGCAGCTGGAGGTGCAGCAGGAGGAGGAGGAAGAGGAGGGGGAGGGAGAGGAGATGCAGCAAAGAGACGCCATGCTGCATGCATATCTGCTGCAGACATAACAGGATCAGCAACATGCATGCAGCTGCTGGGTACCTGCAACAGCTGCTGCAGCAGCAGCGCCATGGCTAGCTGATACCTGCTGCTGCTGCTGCTGCTGCTGCATGCAGTTGCGCTACCTAGACCTAAACAAACTAAATTAAATAAAACATCGTGTCTTGTAAAGACACATGCAGCAGCAGCAGCATCAGCAGAAGTATCTCCTGCTGCGCTGCTGCTGCTGCTGCTGTTGCTGCTGCTGCAGCTGCCTATACACCCCAATTCCTTACAAACAGCAGCAGAAAGCTTCTGCTGCACTTCTACCCAAAAGGGGGATCTCTCTATCTCTACCTTTAGCTGCTGCACTGCAGCAGCAATTGCTTCTCCTTCTGCTGCTGCTGCTGCTGCTGCTGCTGCTGTAGATTCTGCTGCTGTTCCAGTTGCTGCTGCTCCCTCGGCATCCGCTGCAGCAGGCGCAGCAGCAGCAGCTGCTGCCTTTGCTGCGGCTAGTGACCTTAAGGCACTAACAGGGGGCCCTGGGCCCCTATATCTGCATGCAGATCTAGCGAAGGATCCATGGGATCGTCCCCTGGGATCGTTGGGATCGTTGGGATCGTTGGGATCGTGGGGATCGGTGGGATCGTGTGGGGAGACGATCCCAACTCCCCGACGACGACGGGAGACAATTCGCCATCCTCCTCCATCGTCCTCACGCATCCCTAAACCCTAAACCCTAAACCCTGAACCCTAAACCCTAAAATCCTAAACCCTAAAATACTAGACCTTAAGCCCTTAGCCTTAAAACCCTAAACCCTAAACCCTAAACCCTAAAACCCTAAACCCTAAACCCTAAACCCTGAGGGCCCCCTGTTGTACCCTTTATCTTCCTTCTATTGTTTATTTAATTAAATAATAATTTAATTAAATAAATAAATATAAATAAATAAATAATAAATATAAATATAAATATAAATAAATAGGTTTTCTTCTCCTTGCTGCTGCAGCACAACAACACCAATAAAGAATTATATATATATGTATACCCTTAATAATAAGGGGGGCCCCCTGCTGCTGTGTGGGGGGCCCCCCGCAGCAAAAAAAAAGTTGCTGCAGTACCTTTATTAATAAGAATAGGAATTATATGTCCTTATTTATCTTTATTTATTTATTTTTTCCTTTTTTTTCTTTTTTTTTTTCTTTGTTTTTTTCTTTTTTCTTTTTCTTCCCTCCTTGTCTATACACTACACCCCCTGTGTACACAGGCTGGTCTGCAGCAGCATCGAAGCAGCAGCAGCAGCAACAGCAGCAACACAAACAGCAGCAGCAGCAGCAGCAGCAAGAGCAGCAGCAGCAGCAGGAGAGGGAGCAGCAGCGGTTACTTACCTAGGGGGTCTTGGCTTTGCTGTATCTTTTCTTGTCTTTGAGGGTCAACAGCTTACTGCAGCAGCAGCAGCAACAGCAGCAGCAGCAACAGCAGCAGCAGCAACAGCAGCAGTATGCAGACATGCCCGTTGCCTGCCATCGTAAGCATTATCAACAGACACAAGCAGCAATAAGGGGAGCAGCAGCAGCAGCAGCTGTTGCTGCTGCTGCTGTTGCTGCTGCTGCTGCGCCATGATGGCGATACGCATGCTGCTGCTGCTGCTGCAGCAGCGTGTGCTGCAGCTGTCTCTTTTATTTTATATTTTCTTTCCTTTGTTTGTGCATGCAAAGACAGCAGTATTTCCTTATAAAGGCTCGCTGCTGCAGCATGCTGCTGCTGCCAGCAGCAGCAGCAGCAGCAGCTGCAGCAGCAGCAACACCAAAGCTGGTACTGGGGTGTCTTGGGGGCCCCCCCTGTATATAGGGACCCCCTACTCCTTTGGGGCTGCATGCAACCCCTCTAGTAGGAGAATTTCTTCTTCTTCTTCTTCTTCCTTAATAGGAAGAGGGGCCCCCTTATCTCCTTTTCTTCTTGCTAAGGGGAGAGAGAAAGCAGCAGCAGCAGCACTTGCTGCTGCTGCTGCTGCATCATCAGCCATGCAGCCGTCTGGTGCTGCTGAATCAGATCCTGCTGCTGCTGCTCGTGCTGCTGCTGCTGCTGCTGCAGCAGCAGCAGCAGCAATGAAGGAGCGCGAAGATAAACCCTTTGAGCTACCTATAGTGGACATGGGGGCCCCCCAGGGGGCCCCCCTAAGGGAGGAGGAGAGAGCAGCAGCACTGCAGCAGCAGCAGCTGCTGCTGCAGGAGTTTTTACACCCAAAAGAAGAAGAAGAAGAACCATCAGGTAATTTATTATTTATTTATTCCCTTCTTCTTCTTTGCTGCAGATTGCATGCATGCATGCATGCATGCAGACATATTTGCATGCATGCAAGCAGTTATATGTACATGCAGCTATGCATGCAAGCATCTATGCATGCAAGCAACAATACATGCATGCATGCATGCATGCATGGATGCATGCGTAAGTAAATATGTGCATGCACGCATGGATGCATGCAGGCATGAGTGACGAGGATTTTTACAGTACTTTGGGGCTTTCTGCTGCTGCTGGTCCCCGTGAGGTATGTAAGGCCCTTAGTGCCTATAGAGAGCAGCAGCAGCAGCAGCAGCAGCAGCAGCAGCAGCAGCAAAAGGATATATATCCTACTCTTTATAAGAAATGGTTAGAAATATTTCAGCAGCAACTGCAGCAGCAGATGCAGCAGCACGAAGCAGCAGAAGCAAAAAGAGACACATGGAGCAGCAGATTCACAAGGCTGCTGCTAGGAGGAGACACTCTTGCTGCAGCAACACAAGATGATCTGTAAGAATATATACATGCATGCATGCATGCAGGCAGGCATGCATGCATGCATTTATTATTTGCATGCATGCATGCATGCATGCGTTGTATATGTGTATAAATGATGGGGCTGTTTGTTTCTCTGTTCCTTATTTAATGTGTCTTTGCTGCCTCTTATTCTGCAGCAGCAGCAGCAACAGCAGGAGGAGGAGGAGGAATCAATTGTGTTGCTGCTGCTGCTGCTGCTGTATGTGTGTGTCTTGCTGCTGTGCTGCTGCAGTGCGCATGCACCTAGTGAATTAGATCCTTCTTATGCACAAAGTGTGGGGCTGCCAGCAACTTACGGTATATTAGCAGCAGCAATTAGGGAGCAGCAGCAGCAGCAGCAAAATAGTCCAAGCTTCCTGCGCAGGTAAGACAACATTTGTGCAGCAGGAGACACTTGCTGCTGCTGCTGCTGCAGCACATGCTCCTGCTGCTGCTGTTGCTGCTGCTGCAGAAGGTTGTAGAGGGATTTGTAGTGTCTCCTTAGCAAGTGTCTCCTTTAACTAACTGTCTCCTTTTGCTGCTGTCTCCTTGTGCTGCTGCTTCTGCTTTTGCTGCTGCTGCTTCTGCTGCTGCTGCTGCTGCTGCTGCTGGTGTCTCCTTAGGTTATTATACAGCAGCAAATATTTTATTCCCTTAATAGGTGTAGGTTCCTTAGTAGAGAGAGCAGCAGCAACAGCACTAATTGCTGCTGCAGGGTTTGCTGCTCGTCTTATGGATGGACTGTCTCCTTATCCACAGCAGCAGCAGCAGCAGCAGCAGCAACAGCAGCAGCAGCAGCAGCAGCAGCAGCAGCAGCAAGTGTCTCCTGATGAACTGTCTTCTGATGAGGAGACTGATGAGCAGCAACTTCCTCCTCAGCAGCTGTCTCCTAAGCAGGTATAAGGATACACCTGCATGCATTCTTTGCTGCTGCTGTTGCTGTTGCTGCTGCTGCTGCTGCTGCTGCTGCTGTCTCTCCTTCTGCTGTGTCTCTGTCTTCTTTTATATCTTTTATTTAATAAAAGTGTCTCCTTTTTCTTCCTTTTTATTTATTAATAAATAAATGTCTCCTTTTTTTTTCTTTTTTTTTTTTTCTTTGTGTCTCCTTATTAGGAGACAGTAAGGAGACACTTATTGTCTCTATTATTTATTTATTTATTTATTTATTTATTTATTTATTTATTTATTTATTTATTGTCTCCTTTTTCTTCTTTTTTTTTTTTCTTTGTGTCTCCTTATTAGGAGACAATAAGGAGACAGTTATCTGTTCGTTCTTATTGCCTAAGAGCAGCAATACTTGCTGCGCATGCATTAATAGGGGGAGGAATTGCTCTTTTTTGCCATAAACTTGTAAGTCTTGCTGCTGCTGCTGCTGCTGCTGCTGTTGCTGCTGCTGCTGCTCCAGCAGCAGCAGCAGATGCAGCAACAGCAGCAAGACACCGTTTTTTGCTGTTTCTATGTGCATATGAATGAATAATCCTTCTGTTGCTGCTGCTGCTGCTGCTGCTGTTGCTGCTGCTGCTGTTGCTGCTGCTGCTGTTGCTGCTGCTACAGGCATTATTTACTCCTTGGTTGTCCCTAAAGGGACTACTAACAGGGTCTGTTATTAGTCAATGGTGGTTAGCCTCTGCAGTGTATAGACTGCATGCATCTGCTGCTGCTGCTGTTGGAGAGAAGGAGTTGCTGCTGCAGCAGCAGCAGCAAGAGTTACTGCGTCGGTACCGTGAGCAGCAGCAGCAGGAGAAGGAGGAGCAGCAGCAAGAAGGAGGAGGAGGAGGAGGAGGAGAAGAAGAAGAAGAAGAAGAAGGGTATAATATAAATATACAAGAAGGAGACGAATGGCTATTTGATGATCCTGAGTACCCTCTTGCTCTTAGAGACCATTAATAAACCCTAAACCCTAAACCCTAAACCCTAATATATACCCTAAACCCTCATAAACCCTAATATAAACCCTAAACCCTCAAGGGGAGGAGAGAGGGTTTGTTGTTGTTAGCAGGATATACCTGCAAACCCTTTACCGATTTTCTTTTATATATATTTTAGTCTAAACCCTAAACCCTAATTCCTAAACCCTAAACCCTAAACCCTAAACCCTCAACTATAGAGAC